GGCAGAGCTAGGATTCAAGTTTGGACTTACTGGCTGCGGAGTCCAGCCCCTAAGCTCCGTGTGTGCACCGTGCTCAGAATTTTACTTCTCGTATCAGGAAGGCATAGACCTCCAGAGCCCACAGGTAGCCAGGGCTATGGACTTTTGGACTCTAGGTTAAGAAACTCTGCATTTGAAGCTTCCAGCTTCTTCTACACTCTCCATCATTCTGCTTTGATTTAATCCCAATCTACATTAGCCACTATCAGCATAGTTTTAGAAAGTTCATTTACCACATAGACTTTCCCATCTTTCTCTCTTAGCCCAGCTGTCTTAGTTAGTTTAGGCTGCTGTAACAAAATAACATAACCTGTGTGGCCTCAACAATAAACATCTCTCAGAGTTCTGGAGGCTGGAAGTCCGAGATTAAGGCATCAGCAGATTTGGTGTCTGGTGAGGACCTGCTTTCTGACTCATAGATGATACCTTCTTACTGTGTATTTCCATGGTAGAAGGGAAGGCAGTTGGCTGGGGACCTCTTTTTTTTTTTTTTTTTTTTTTTTTTTAAGATGGAATCTTGTTCTATCACTTAGGCAGGGGTTCAGTGGCATGATCTTGGTCACTGCAACCTCTGCCTCCCTGGCTCAAGTGATTTTCCTGTCCCTGCCTCACCAGTAGCTAGGATTACAGGCGGCCGCCATCATACCCAGCTAATTTTTTATATTTTTAGTAGAGATGGGGTTTCACCATGTTGACCAGGCTGGTCTCAAACTTCTGACCTCAGGTGATCCGCCCGCCTTGGCCTTCCAGATCATATTCGGGATTACAAGTGTGAGTCACTGTGCCAAGCCTTGAAATCTCTTTTTTAAGTGCACTAATCCCCTTCATGAGGGCTCCATCCTCATGACCTAATCCACCTCCCAAAGGCCCTGACTCATCATACCATGTAATGGGAGGTTGGGGTTTCAATTTATGAGTTTCCAGAGACACGAACCTTCAGTCTGTAACACCATTTATTGTTTTCAGTCTTTAGCTGTTAGCTTGGTACCTTACAATTTGGGCCTTACCCAGATTCAACTTTTCCTGCTGTTGTTATAATTATTTAATTCAACTTTATTTGTATTACTATTTTTTGTGCTTTTTTCCCTCTAATTTACTTATTTCTTTTTAATTAAATGAATTGATTTTAAAAGAAAACTCTTTATCAACACTATAATTGGAAAAACCAGTTCTGTTTGACTGGGAGAGACTCACTCTTAGAAATATGTTCATAGTCTACAAAAATAAATCAACCTTGCCCATGTTATTAAATTTTATCGTTATGCTTACTCTTGAGTAAAAGGGGGAAGTGAATGAGTACCAGGGAAATGTGCAGGTTATATTAGCACCCAACTATGATTTTCTTTTCTTCGATATGATCAAAAAGGTAGAAATAATTCAGAAAAGGCAGTATTGTTTTTATTCCGTGTTTTAGGCAACTAAAAGCAGCTACTCAATACTTAATATCTCCCTGCTGGGCGCAGGACTCACACCTGTGTAATCCCAGCACTTGGGGAGGCGGAAGTGGTAGAATCACTGGAGGTCAAGAGTTTGAGACCATCCTGGCCAACATGGTGAAACGCTGTCTCTACTGAAAATATAAAAATTAGCTAGGCATGGTGGCTTATGCCTATAATCCCAGCTACTTGGGAGGCTGAGGCAAGAGAATCGCTTGAACTGGGGAGGCTGAGGTTTCAGTGAGCAGCGATGGCACCAGTACACTCCAGCCTGGACAACAGAACGAGACTCTGTCCTCTCCCCACCAAAACAACAACAACAACAACAACAACAACAAAACAAAACAAAACACAAAAAAACCCCTTACGATTTGATAGACTCCAAATGGTATCTTATTGCTGTTTTTGCCCAGGTATTCTTACCCAGGGTAGACTTGGGTGCCAAGTTACAGAGAACTTAGAATGTAACAGAAAAGAGGGAAACGTGTGGGAAAAGACATCCAGAGAGAGAAGCATCCAGAGAAAAAGGAGACCAGTGTCACATCCCTTTTGGCACGCAAATGTTTCCATATTGCTTCGTGTTTTGAACATTTTCTTGAGAAGCCCTCTCACTTCCCTGCTTTTCAGAACCAACAGAGGGAATCTTCGTCTCAAAACTAAATAAATATAAGATCTCCTCTCAAATAGTATTTGGGCCACCCCTGCTCTTGCTATTGTCCCTGCCTAATGACGTTCGTTATTACGTGGGAAAGAGAATATTGCTTAAAAATGTAACTTTCTCTGAAGTTATATTTTACTTCAGAGAAAGTAAAATTTAGGCACTGCAATAATTATCACCATTTGAACAGTGGTGGAAATTGAGGCACAGAGATGTTGGGTAACCTGCCTGAGGTCACACCACTGTTAAGTGACAGAATGGGATCCCAACATGTCTTGAACTCATATGCATGACACCCTGTGCTCTGCAGTGACTACCTTCAGTACATTCTGTTTCAGACAGTTCAGTGTTATCACTGGTCATCAGAAAACGTGCTAGCTGGGAAAGTTCACTCCTTCCAGTTTCATGTCAAAACAAAAATATAAGACATTTTTGAAAGGGGTGGGCGGGCATGTAACATGCTCTGTGCTCTGGTGAGAAATACTGTAAAATGAAAAATGAGATTAATGTTTCAGATTGTACAGTTCCCTAATTATGCTTTTAATTATTCATATAAAACAAGTAAAATGACCCCTGACAGAGATATAAATGATTTAGGTAAAATCAAATATTTATAAGATGCTGCTGATTCCCTGGGTGTATTAGAACAGATGCAATAAAAATGTTTTACCTTCATCCTTTGGATTCAAAATGTTATGTATGGAACTTATAACTGGTTGAGAAGAATCATTAACAGCATCTGAAACACTACTGAGCTAATGCCTAGATGTTTTTACATCAGAACTAAAGGTGTGTGGTTGGTATAATATAATATTTTAGAAGATATTTTATAATATCTGTATATATAGATGTATTTTATATAAGATTTTAGATATTCTCTTCTAAGATACTATATCTTAGGGGTCACAAAATGATAGGTCCCTCATTTTTACATTTTAAAATGATTTTTTAAAATCAAAAGGAGGTAATATTTCATGACACTTTGAAAATTTTGTCAAATTTAAGTATCAGTGTGTTTAAATAAAGCTTTATTGGAACGTAGCCTCACCCATTCATTTAAGTGTTATCTTTGGCTGCTGCTGTGCTGTAAGACAAGAGTGTAGTTGCACTAGAGACCAATCGGCCTGCAAAGCCTAAAATATTTACCAACTGGCCCTTTACAGGAGAAGTTTATGACCCCTGTTCTAAAACATGCCCAACACAGGGTAAGGGTGGCACAGTGCCGCAGCTTGTTTAATTGGCACAAGAAACACTTGCTTTTACCTTATTTTATCCTTTAATTTGCTGTTGTACGAATTGAGTATTCCTCGCATATTTTTTCAGAAGTTGCGGAAAAACTGCCTTTTGAATGCAATAAAAAGGGATTTGTATGAGAAGGGTTCCTTCACTTGCTTTTAATGCTTCCTTTATTTCGAGAAGTACTGAAACTAATTGCAGTATTCTAGAAATGGGTCATTAGCTTAGTCCCTATCTTTTATGGAGACCTAATTTTCATGCAGGATTTCTCTCTAAAGCTCTAACTAGGATCTCTTTAGGAAGAGGCTACAGTGAGGCTGAGCACTTTCCCGTGGCTTATGCAAGCTTGGCTTTTGATCACAAACCATTCAGTATATTGTTTGGCATGTTACATGTATTTAGCAGCCAATAAGTATTCATTGAATGAATGAATGAATGAATCCACATTTAGAGAACCAAAAAAAGGGAATTTATCACTTGAATTTGTTTTTTGGTTTTTTATTTATTTATTTATTTTTTTTTTTGAGACAGAGTCTTGCTCTGTCGCCAAGTGCCAGGCTGAAGTACAGTGGTGCAATCTCCGCTCACTGCAAACTCCGCCTCCTGGGTTCAAGCAATTCTTCTGCCTCAGCCTCCCTAGTAGCTGGGACTACAGGCACACACCACCATGCCCAGCTGATTTTTGTATTTTTTAGTAGAGACGGGATTTCATCATGTTGGCCAGGATGGTCTCGATTTCTTGACCTCGTGATCCGCCTGCCTCGGCCCTAAATTTGTTTTTTATGCATTTACACATTATATTCCTTTTGGAAAAATATTTTTTTGTCAGTGTAAATCCAAGTTATTCTCAATTTTCCTTCCTGTATTTCAAAAAAGAGCAGTATATTTTTGAAATTTAGAGTTGGAATTTAATTGAGGTTCCCTATGTTGTGGATTTTCTTATGTGTTCTTTTGGATGGGTTAAGGGAAATTATTTTGTGCTTGGAACTAAAATAAATAGTAAAGAAAACTAGCTGTCTGTCAGTATTTGAGTGACTTCAAGAGTAGATTTCGTATTATACTTTCCTGGGTACTGTTATCAAATACAGACCTCCAGCTCTCTTCCCACTGACTGTTGCCTTAATATTCCCACCTACAGATTTTTATTTCCTGATATCTTGCCTATATTTTCTGACCAAAGAAACATACCTGTTTCATCTAGCTGATCATACATATTTCCTATCTTGTCCCAGACCTTGAATCTTGGGGTAGCCCCATGAATCACTGCTTAAAAAGAAAAATCTTGCTCTCTAGATGATTTTGACCATCAAGCAGATTTAGGAGACGCTGATTCAGAGCGACTTACTCTGTCATTGTCTCCATTTTTTTTTTAATCTGTTAAATGGATAAGTAATTCTGAGATCATTCCCTGAGAAGTGTCATGATTTAGGGCCAACTGGTGCTATGAGAGCATTCTGCAGCTAGAATGAACTAATTTATTTAGGCGGGTGTGTTCATCGTGTTTTTTCACAGGTACATGAGGAAATAATTCACATCGTGGTAATCATGAACTTCATTAGAAGCAGCAGAAAAACTCCCATTTGGTTTTGAAACTCACTCTGTGTTCCTCTCTTCTCACCTGTTTCACACAGTCGCCATCCTTCTGAAAGACGACTATTTTGTCAGTGGAGCTGGTCTGCCTGGCAGATTCAAAGCCGAGAAGGTGGAATTTCACTGGGGCCACAGCAATGGCTCAGCGGGCTCTGAACACAGCATCAATGGCAGGAGGTATCCCGTTGAGGTGAGAGAAAGTCAAGATCCCAACATGTAGCCCTGCTTCGGTCTTTATGTTAATCAGATGCTATGTCCTTACCTTCGGTCGTTTTGCAAATCAAACCTGTACAGTACCTAACTTCGTCTCTCTGGAAACCCTTTATCCATAGTATGGCAGGTGGGTATCCATCCTCGTTTCTCACCTTTGTTTAACCGGAGAAACACAGAAGCCACAGGCATCATGGTTTGAGTAGACTCACTACTGGTTGATGATGTTCATCATGTGTTTTGTTTGGCACAGTTTCTTTTCACCGTCCATTCCTGTTTTCGAAAGATGACACTTTGTAAGAAACTGGGTTGACTTCATTTTCACCTTAAAAATAGAAAAGTTGGCGAAATGAAGAGGAGTCTCAGAACCTTCTCTTGGTAGCGAAGTTGTAAGGTTTTTTTTTTGCTCCCACTGGCTGTTGAAAAAGAGGCTGTGGTGGAGTGAGTCACTTAATTTTGTGAGGATTGATGGTGACATTTTGCTTCTGCTGTGTCGGTCTTTTCACTCATCCATCCTGCTGGGACGCCCTGGGTCACATGCCGAAGTGTATCTGCTTAGAGCCAGGGTGAGGGAAGGAGCACATCTCCAGCTTTTTTTATTAATGTTGGTTAAGGACAGTACATCTCTTTCAATGCCAGCCTTACGTATTTCCTTTAATCGTGACTGTTGTGTGAATATTCTTTTGTTGTGATGGACATGTTTGTTTCTTGCTAGGTCCCCCATGTGGTAAGTGTGTGGAAGAACAAAATGGATGTGCTTCTGAAACCTGCCCAACAATCCCATAGACAGTTGTTTTGGATAAACACAGAAATGGACCCTTCTGCTGTTAAAGCTTAAAACTTGTATTTGTTGGATTTGAGTTTCTTCCTCAGTAGAGGACGTTCAGGCCTCTTTAAATTAAAGTATCCAGTGACCGAAGTTCACCAGATCATTGCACCAGGTGCCTCCTTGCCCCTCCTTAGTTCTTGTTTTCTTATACATTGTTACATTTCTTCCCTCCTATGTAAATCTCTGGTTGAGTCAGTCAGGGAGATGGACTTGAGGCAGAGCTCCCATCTCCTCGCTCAGCTGCAGCACCCAATTAAAGCCTTCTTCCTTGGCAATACTTGTCACCTCAGTGATTGGCTTTCTGTGCAGCGAGCAGGCTGGACCTCACCTGAACCCCTGGTGTCTCAGTAACAGTTCCAGCCTGTGGCTGTCCTAAACGTGGAGTGACTTTGCACTGGTAACATGTGTTAATCAAGGGAGCCACATGGCCAAGGAAAGTTTTCAACTGTTAGTATTTCGTAACTTCTACCAAGTCTTATCCTGCTTTGATAATCTGATGAATTCTTGAGATCCCCTTCACAAAAAAGACACATGTATATATCTACACATAGATTTACATGTAACTGATAGGGTCCCCTCATTCTCCCTAGCTCCTCAGGCCCATTTTTGAACCCTGTAAGTATCTTTGAAGCTCTGATGAAGAATCCCTACACAATAAGAAAATCGGTAATATTTCTTTTTCTATAGATGCTTATATGGCCATGTAGATTTGTTTCTTATCCAGTATCCCTGGAGAAACCAGTGATGACTACTCTGAGAAAATGCTTCATGTTTTTTCTTGCTTAGCTGACAAATTCTCAGTACCAAGATTCTTCCTGCAGTAGGACTCCTCTATCTGTGGGACCTCCTGTCCTGGTCACAATAATGATATGTTTTGTGAGTTAGGTTTCTACTTAATGGGTTCTCTTCCACCTTTTAAATGGAATGAATCATATCTTAGAAGTCTCAGCTTTATTTGCACTTGGAAAACTTGATTCCTAGAAGCAAAATTACATCATGTCCCCAAGTGTGGGGTTTTCCTTCTGGTCTTGCTGACAGGTTCCCACTGGCAGTGTGAGTTGAAGGGGTAGCTTTGTGTCCAGCCAGCTTTGCCTCACAGCCTAATTCTTGCCTTAGAATTGGGCTGCTGTATGTTCACTTAATGTTGTTTTGGACAAAGGACCTGTCCTGAAAGCTTACGAACTTAATCAGATGGCTGCCTTGGAAAAGAAGACCTCTAGAGCTAGATAGAAACTGGGAACCTTGCCTCTGTGTAATTATATTTCCTCGTGCCAAAAATGGCCAGTTTCCTCTTTACATTTGATTCTGGGAAACATGTATCAAAGACTTAATATCCTTTTTCCTTTTTCTTTTTTGAGATAGAGTCTTCACTCCATTGCCCAGGCTGGAATGTAGTGGTCTACAATTTTGGCTCACTGCAACCTCTGCCTCCTGGGTTCAGGCGAATCTCCTGCGTCATCCTCCAGAGTAGCTGGGATTATAGGTGTGTGCCACTGCGCCTGGCTAATTTTTGTATTTTTACTAGACAAAGGATTTCACCATGTTGGCCAGGCTGGTCTTGAATTCCTGACCTCAAGTGATCCACCCTCCTCAGCCTCCCAAAGTGCTGGGATTACAGGTGTGAGCCACCATACCTGGCCAGAGATTAATATTCTTTTTGAAACCTATGATTTTTGGTGAATATTTCAGTTTTACATTTCTCAGAGAGAGCCACTGAATTCAAAAGCTAATTATAAATGGCAGCCACCATGCCCAGGTTTTTTATTTGACCAGGCTGTTTGGATATTTTTCTTTTAAGCAATGTCAGATGGTAAGGCTGCCTCTATCAATTGGGTTCCTCATTGCAGTCCATCTGACTCAGTTTGTTTTCTAAAAATGTGATAAATTAACGGTATATTTGGAGGAACTTGAATTTCAGAGATTAAGTAACTGCATTAAATTTAACTTTAAAATATGCACAAGAGAAGTTGCTTGCTCTTGCCCAAATTGTGTTTGTGATATTCAATGTTAAGTGGCTGTATTTGAGCTCTTCATTAACACCCACCTCTCCCTGCAATTTTTATACTGTTTGAGCGTCTTACGCTTGGTTTATTTCTTTTCACGTAACTTCATTGTTTTCCCAAAAACTCGAATGAAAGTAAGGAAATTTAATTGATCATGGAGAGTAATTTATCAGCATTGGGGACATTAATTATTTGTCTTGCATGCAGTATGTATGAGGGCTTCAGAAGGATCATTGTTGAAGACTTGTGCTCAGATTGGTAACACATAGCTGTGGTTCTCACCCAGGGACAGTGTCTCTCCCTGCACCCTGTGGGCTAATGTCTGAAGACATTTCTGGTAGTCGCCATTGTTGGAAGTGGTATGCTACTACTTTCCAGTTGGTAGAGGCCAGGAATACTGCCACACATCCCAGTGTAAAGGACAGCCCCTACTAAAAGGAATCATCTAGCCCCAAAATGTTGCCAGTGTCACTGTGGTGAGATTCTGGAGTGGAGAAAGCAGTGTGTTGAGTGGAACGGAGCATTTCTTGATCTAAGTAGCATCATTTAAAATACATTTGATTAAGGAAGACTTTTTGCTTGGGAAGTCAGTTCCATTGTCATTGGATTTTAGAGAGTAAATGTACCCTGCCTTATGTGTAGCAGCACTGCTGTTCCTGGTTTCCTCAGTCTCTGCTTGAGATGCAGTCACGACCTTGGGAATTTTAACAGCTCCCTCCGTGTGCTGCGGCTCTGCAGGCTGAATTTTAAACATATGCCCCACAAGAAGCTGGATCTGCTCCCTGAGGGTACATGGCAGCAAACTCAACTTTGTAGGTTTTGTTGCTTCCCAGGAATTCTTTGAGGTCATCTAAGACAACTTTGTCGGCATCCAGAAATTAAAGCTGTCTGAATTTTCCTAGCTGGAATCCTGGACTCAGTCTTGGATTTAAAAAACATCCAGTCTACTAGTTAACAACAACAAAAAATCCTTGTACAGACAAAATAGCCAAACAAAGTGAAAGCTCTTCAATTGCCAGTGTTCTTTACAGCTCAGTTAAAGTTAGAAAAGAAAGTTGAAGTCAGATTACAATGCCGTGCCTTTGAGACCAAACCCAGTTTGGATCCTCAGATGCCCTCACCTCCTGTTACTCAGTTTTATTCCTTGCCCAGCAGCACATTTTTCTTGAGTATCTTCTGTGGTATGTGTGCTGGTTCACAAAGGTAAGTCAGAAAGTCACAGTTCCTGCTTTCAAGGTATTTACACTCTAGTGGTGATCCAGAAATTGAACATTGGTCATGTAAATATCTGTGTAATTGCATTTGTGATATAGTCTCTAAAGTGGGGGGACATTTTGATATAGGGGGTGGAAGATTTCCATGGAAACATCAATATTTATTAGATGGAACAGATGAATTGGAGCTTCCTGGTTGAATAAGCATATGGAAAAGCCCCGAGGCAGCAGGTATTTGTTAAGTTTAAAAAAGAGGCCAGTAAAGATTTTGGTAGACCAGATGATGTCTTTTTCCAAATGTCTGCTGTAAATGTGTTACTTTATGTGGCACAACAGACTTTGCAGATGTGATTAAGTATCCTTAAAGTCAAAAAACTCAGCATATTCCAGTCATTAAAACAGGATGACTTGTTCGGGTTCTTCTATGGCAACTCAGCGTTCTGTTGTCTGTCCAGCCACAGTTGGTCTGTGACACCCTCTATTGTATCTTAAACATTTTTCTTATTCTACACTCGTTCCTGTTCCATAGTTGGTAACTTAAATAAAGGTTCATATAACACTAATGGAAATTGAATCGTGCAGTATTTCCACTAATAACCAAAGTTGCAGCTAATACAAAGGGAAACCTCCAGATAAAACCTTTGAGAGCTCCATTAAAGTGGGGGGTCATTGCATGCTTGTTGTTTGAGGAAATTAAAATCTTACTTATGACAATAAAACATCACGGGAATTGTTGATTCAGACTTAGTGGTGCTTTATGAGTTGAAGTCTTCAATAAGCTTAAATGATCCAAATTGATTGTATGTGCCCCTTCTGGTGAAACTCACAGCTGGTTTATTTCAGCTCTGTTGAGAGCATCCTAGTGAATGAATAGAAGCAAAGGCATTTTCCTGGTATATACCATGTACACATTGGTACAGGTCTGCAGTCCCTT